TTTAATTTTCTAATTGACAAATATAATTTATAAACATTTTTTTCCCTTATTTTTAAAAAACTTTGAATTTTATTAAAACAATTGAAATTAAGAAAATAGAATTGATGTAAATTATTTTCTTATGAAAATTGATAATTTTCTATACAAAAATATTAAGAAACGGGAATATCTTATGTTTTTCTTCCCAAAAGAAAAAAATGAGTTTGTAAACAATATTGTTATTGAGAAATAAAAATGATGCATAAAATGGGTATATTTCCTAATTCTTAATCAAAACTCTTTAACAATTAACAATTTTTTAGAAATAAAAAGGAGAATAATTTGCATAATAATTTAGATCAGTCAAACGAAATTTGTTTTTAGAAAAAAGCATATAACGAACAAAATGGATATATTTTTCATTTGTTAATCATAATTTTTTTTAAATTTTCTAATTTCTAATATTATTTTATTATAAATCATGGAAAAAATAACTGCATATTTTCTATTTGTCAAACAATATTTTTTAAAGTAGAAAAAACAAAAGCATACATAGAAACTAACTTCAATCTCTGGACAGAATCGAATGAAAGAATACGGAGTAGTTAATTAAATAATAATTATTAAATTATGATACATATTTATTAGCAATGAACTTTTTCTTTTCTACTCTTTTTCTTTCACATTCCTTAATAAGGAGAAATTTCTAAAGAATTTCCTTAATACTCAACAGTACATATAAATTTCACAGTTTCAGTTCAAAACTCAACAATTTCAGGTTAAATTGACATTTGACACAATATGATACCTGACAAGATATTTAATCTTTGACGGAACTAAAGATGCATTTCAAAGCACACTCGTATTCACGAATCAAGGAATTTTGAAACAATGGGTGTTCCTAAACAAAGGGAATAAGAGATACGGTTTTAGTTGTGTGTATAAATACCCCATTGTATATGCATCTTAACTATATAAATTATATATATATTCCACTTAATGCTTGTGTGTTGAAGATAACGTTACTCCACGTAACGGTAATGTAAAATGATTATGTCAATTTTTTACGGAGAGAGAAAGAGAGAATATCGTGCGTGCATAAAAGTTTTCCGTTCGATTGAACGTATATTTGCGAGAAAATGAGATAGAGAGAGAAGGAGAGAAAAAGGGAGAGAAAAAGAGAGAAAAAAGGAGAGAAAAAGAGAGAGAAAAGAAGAGAAAGAGGAGAGAGAAAAAGGAGAGAGAAAAAGAGAGAGAGAGAGAGAGCGAGAGAGAGAGGAAATAGAGAAAGAGAAGAAATTAGAGAGTGCAAGAAAGAGAAAGATAGAGAAAAATAGAAAAAGAGAGAGAAGGAATAAGAGAGAGAAAGAGAGGAATAAGAGAGTATAAGAAAGAGAAAGATAGAGAAAAATAGAAAAAAAGAGAGAAATATAGAGGAAACGAAAGAGAAAGATAGAGAAAAAGAGAGAGAGAGATAAAGACAAAAAAGAGCGATAGAGACAGAAAGAGAGAAAGAATGTAAAGGAGTGTGAAGCATGAAATATTGTAACGATCGACTATCATCTATATATCTCGCAATTATATATTGTGAAACACCAACGCGCTATACACAAAAATAGATTTTCCCGCAGGTATGAATGGAAGTGGTTTTGTGTAACATGGTATACAGCCACGAGGAATTTCTCTCGCTTCACTTCACCCCTTACCAATGTGTGTCAATGAGATTTGACGACACGAAGAATCACGCCACCATAAAACAACCCTATAAAAACCTGAAAATACCGATGAGATGAAACTTCATTTCCTCTATAACAAGAACAACAACAACCACGAAAAAATAATAATAGCGTAGAAAAAAAATAGATGCGTAACTATTTTTCTCCCCCCAAAGCAGATAAGAATAGATTTTTTATTGATTTCTTCCTCTACATGAAAAAAAAAAAAATGTCTTTAGACACGTTAAATTACAATTTTATTAATGTTCCAATATTCTTTTCATACATTATTATACTGACATTGTTGTTATTTTTATTTATATTTTTGTCATTTCTTAATGTTTCTTAATCTTATTATATTATTTTTAATCATTAGTTATTTTTTACTAATTCAGATTTAGAGAGTATTTTAATTATTATTGTAGAATATTTCGACTAAAATTTAGAATATTTATAGACTGAAAAAAATTTATTTAGTTGCAAAAAAGAATTCCTTGACTGTTAATAAATAAATATTTATTTTCTAACAGCCAAGGAATTGTTTATTCGAATCAAATAAATTCTTAATTTGTATAAAATAATTATATTTATTATAAAATAATTTTTATTTTTGTTGATTAAATATTATTTGCTGTAAATACTGAAATTATTGGTATTTGCAAAAAATACCAATAATTTTATTTATTGGTATTTATTAAAATTTATTTTGATTTAAATAAAAATTCTTTGATTCAGGTAAAGATTTATTTGAATAATGTAATTATTATATATATAATAATTTTTTTGATAATAAACAAGTAGTCGATAATTCAAAACAAATAAAATTTTTTTTCACTCTAACATTATTTCTTTCTTCTTTATTTATTTACAGCATTTATTTTAAAAATAAAAAAGTAATAATTTAATAATTATAAAGTAGAAAAAATATTTATTATTAAATCATTAATAAATTTTTTCTTCTGTCGTCTTAAATAAATAAAAATAATCGATTGTTAAAAATTAAAATTTTCAATTTTTAAACTAACGAATATTTTCATTTTTTGATTTTTTTAAATTTGGAATGAATTTTGACCTTTTGTTTCCTCTTCACCAATTTTTTTGTTACAATAAATTTCTTATGTTAATGTAAAAAAATATAATTTCGTTTTCATTTTTATTTATTAATTCGTTTCGATATTTATTTTATACTGTCTGTCAAAGAAACATTTTTTTTTGGGGGAAAATTTTCAAAGAAAACTAGGTTAAGAATTAAATAAAAAATAGAAAATAAAACATTAAAAGAAAGGAAAAGTTTTTCATTTCTTTCCCACGTCAAAAGAAGTATTTTATTCTTTTCCTCTTCTTTTAAAAAAAAAATTTCCGTCAATTATCGAGAAAGGATTTTGAAAAATAGAAAATTTGTTCTTTTCTCTTGTAAATAAATAATTAGTAAGTTTTTCAGAAAATGATTTCTTTTAGCAGGCATCATCGATTTTAAAATTGAGAACGTGAAAATTTATTGAATTATATATAATTCATTTACTAAATTAAATTTTATATTTATTTTAAAAATCAAATTTTAAATTTAATTTATTAAAAATTCGAATAATAGAAATTAGAAACAGTAAGAAATAGAAATCTGAATTTTCGTCTTTATTTATTTACTGTTTTAAATTTTTAATACATCAATAAGTGAAATATTTAAAAATTCAAAAAATAGAAAATAAAAATCTGAAACGACTTCTTTTTTTAGAATTTCTTTCTAGTTTCTATAGAACATTATATATATTTTGTAAAAAAAACATCTTCAATAAACCGACACTGAGATGAAAAAATATTTAAACTGACAATAAATTTTCATGCTAAAAAAATTGTTGAAAAAAAAATTTCTACAAAAAAAAAAAAATAGAATGTCCCACAGGAAATCGATCCGCATAGAAAAACAACCACTTCATCTCTGTCCAATTATTAACAAAAGTAAATTGGAAAATGAAAGAGATAACGTGGATGAATTTTTGTCCGGAAAAAAAGGTAGTCATAAAAAATTCTACTAAAAATTGAGAAATGCTTTAAATTCCAGTGGCGTTTGTACATATATATACATATATTATATATAGGACTAGAAGAATTGTTCCTACTCTGTTTTTTTTATTCTTGGTCCAGTATTAAATCGATTCGTTACGAAAAAATGTCCCCAGAATATTTGAATATCAGAAATTAATTTTTTTAAATTAAATATATTTATAAATATTGAAAATTTACGCAATATAGACAGTTACTTTACATTTATAAACAATTAGATACATATTTAACTTGTTAACAATATAAATATTGTATTTTTATTTTATTTTTTTATTTTTATTATATTTTTTATTTATTATACTAATTATCAAAAAAGGACATAAAGAAAATGATTAAATATTAATAATTATTAATATTTAATCATTTTCTTTATGATAATGATAATTAAAATTTTGGTATTATAGATAAATGATTTAAACCAGAACCGCGCCATAATTGGCACACTTACCCTATTAATTTTCTTCTTTTTCTTAAATGAATTTTGACTATGCCAACTGATTTAATGAATTATTTTGTCGCGAAATTTAAAAAAAGAAAAATTTAATAAATATATTAATATTAATAATGTATAATTAATTAATATTTAGAGAAAAATAATTATGTAAATTTCTACCCAATATTTACTAGAATTCATGTAGAAATTCTAGTAAATTATTTTGTAGAATATTTTTACTGTAGACAATTTAAATATTATCGACAAATATTTATAATTTAAATATTATCAAAATAATTTTGATAGAAAAATAAATATTATTATTATGGGCATGTCTTGTTATTAAACTAAATAAATAATTTATCAATTAGTATGATAAAGTTAATTAATAATATGTTTAATAATATATTTACCTATTTAGTAATAAAAAAAGTAGATTTGATAGATTTGATAAATTTTATAGAAAAAAAATAATATTAAATTAATAGGATAGAGATAATTAATAATATATTTAATAACACATTTATATATTTAGTAAAAGAAAAAGTAAATAATATTGCAATAAATAATAAGATAGAGAATAAATTTTTTGGAGTAGATTTTTCCATTAAACTTCTAGTAAATGTAAATTAATTACTTTAATAATATTTGCAATAAATAATAAAGAAAGAGAATAAATTTCTTGGAGCAGATATTTTTTATTAAATTTTTTGTAAATAAATTAATTAACCAAATTCAATTGAACTAATGCAATGAAAATTAAATTTAAAAATAATATTAAATAAATTTTTTTGCCTTCTGTTTAATTCTAGATACGAGCAATTGCGGATAAAAATTTTGGGCGACTGCTACTATTGTATAAGTGGAGCACCAATCGAGAGACCAGATCACGCCGTCCTTTGTGTTCACATGGGACTCTCCATGGTGGACGCAATAAAATATGTCCAACAAAAAACAAAAAGTCCTGTCGATATGAGGGTGGGAATTCACACCGGGGCTGTTCTCGCAGGCGTTCTTGGTCAACGACAATGGCAGTTTGATGTTTACAGCAAAGACGTCGAGCTTGCCAATAAAATGGAGAGCAGTGGAATGGCTGGGTAAGATATTTTTTTCCCACAATTTTACTGCATTCTTTTTTTTTATTATTATCATTTTTTATAGAAATTCTGTAATTTCTTCTACTATCACATTTAGAAAAAAAACTTAAATTTATAAAAAAAAAAATTAAAAAATCTTATGAGAAAACCAGTTTTTCATTACTGACAAAAATAAATTAATAAAAATAATAAATAACTCATTTAATTAAAAATTATAAAATTAATATAATTCATTACTTACAAATATAATTAAGGTTCCCCCCTTCCTATTAATAGTTATTTATTTCCTATTTTTCTTATATATAAAAATTAAAATTAAAAAAAAATGTTACAATTTTTAAGTTTTCAGATAAATAAATATAAATTATAAACAATAATGATTTGAGAAAAATGATTAGTTTAATTTCTGATTAACTTTCCGAAGTTTCATAAATAACAATACAAAAAAGTTTTCTTGTTATTAAAGAGAAATTTATAATTAAAAAAAAAAATTCACTTTTATTTTTTTTAGAAAAGAAAAATATTGAAAATTTAATTTAGTCTTGACAAAAAAAAGAATACGAAACAATTGATTATTTCGTAATTCAGAAAATATTTATTAATTAATATTAATAGCTTAATTAAATATTAATTTAATATTATCGTTTAAATTTAAATGAACTATTATGAGAGTAAATAATTATTTTCATAAAAGTTCATTTAAATTTGAAAAAAATTTTAAATATAAAAATTCCGATTTGAAAAATTTTAATTTAAACAATAATTTTACATAAATTATCATATTTTTTTAGTAAGTTTTAGAAAAAGTATTGAACTTTTTTTTCCAAAAAAATTACGCTCTTTGCAAAATTTATACGTCCCGAAATTTTATCATTTCCCATTTATTTTCATAATAGTTCATTAAAATTTTGAAATATCATTAAAGTTTATCGATTTTAATTTGTTTTTCAAACAATGATTTTGGTACATTGTTATCGTTTCGCCCCCATGTAGATTCACAATAACACACACACACATATACAGATATATATATACAAATAAAACTTGGATGAAACAACTATCAGTTATTGAGAAAAAAAAGTTATTCTCGATTTCAGGAACAAAAAAAAGTGTGGGCGACATCGTAAGTAACAATAGAGGGTCAAACACAAAATCGAATTTCGTGACGGAGAAAAAAATAAATACGATGATAATTTAGAAATTTTATATTGAAACGTTTATATAAGTAGGAGTTGGACAAAATAATAAAAGTTGCTTTGTTTACGGAAACATTGTCTAATAAAATTAATAAGCGATGAGAAAAAGTTAAAAGCAAAAACAGAAAAAACAAAAAGATACAGTAAAAACTAAAATCATTTATTTAATTTTATGATTCTCATATAAAGTGAAATATAAATTTTCTACTAAATGTAAAGTTCGAAAAAAGTGTTTTTCTACAAAAAAAAAAAAAAAAACTAAAAAATCGGAGAAAAATTAATGCTGAAAATTAATTGAAAAACAACTGTTTACATAATTAATAATTACATTGACTGATTATTAAATATTAAATATTATAAAATTATAAATGTTATAAAATATTATAAAATATTAAACTAAATATTAAAATTAAATAATAAAAAAAATATTTCTGGACAACTTTATTTTTACAGTCACAAATACACTTTTTCGGGTCAAATAAAGAATTTGTAAATAGTTTCGAAAAATCGCAAAAAAATCAGTAGAAACATTTTTTTTAACTCCCCTTGAGAATTTATAACTTCAGAAACACCCCAAGAGAATAAATTTACTGGATCAACCTCCAATAGAATAATTACGAAAAAATATAGAGCAAAAAATCCAAATAATTTTGTCAGAATAGCCAAATTTTTCCATATTTTGCAAAGGAAAAAAAATAGAAAAAAATTTTTCCTCGGTCCGCTTTTGAAAAATTGATTTCATAAACATCCTAAGAGAGTGAAATTAACGAAATCAACAAAAACGGATAATTGCGAAAAAAGTTAGAGCAAAAAATTAAAAAAATATTTTTCAAAACAGCCGATTTTTAAAATTTTTTGCAAAGAATAAAATAGAAAATAATTTTTCCTCAGTTCGCCTTTGAAAAATTGACTTCATAAACATCCCAGAAGAGTGAAATTAACGGAATGAACAAAAATGGATAATTGCAAAAAAGGTTAGATAAAAAAAATTTAAAATATTTCCAAAACAGCCGATTTTTAAAATTTGTTGCAAAGAATAAAATAGAAAATAATTTTTCTCGTTTCACCTTTGAGAATTTGAGATCAAAAACACACCTAGAGAGTGAATTCACAAAATAAGCCCTAGATAATAATTACAAAAAAAGTTCGAGCAAAAAATCTAAAAAACTTTACCAGAACAGTCGAATTTTTAAATTTTTATTGCAATGGAAAAAATTTAAAAAAATTCCCACGGTTCGCCCTTAAAAATTTGATTTCGTAATTACTTCAAAAGAGCTAATTCACAGGATTAACCAAATCCGTTACTTACAAAAAAAGTTAAAGCAAAAAATCCAAAAAATTCTGCCAAAGCAGCCGAATTTTTGCATCTTTTGCAAACGAAAAATAATAAGCTGAATTTAGAGATTTTCTCAAAATGAAGTCTAATATAATTTAATCATAATTCAATTAAGGTTTATTTAAACTCATTTTCCTCATAGTAAATAACTTTTCTACTTTCTTTCATTTAAGAATCAAAAAACAAGTTATTAAATCTTATGAGTAGGAAATGTCGAGGGGAAAAGTTTTTGCAATATCCTGTGGAATGTTTCGAAAAAGTATGCGCTTTATGATTTTGTTTTTTCCGTAAATAAAACAAGAAAGAATGAAGTATTTCTCAAAAAAGTGAAAAATATAAATTTTTTCAAAAATTGTTCTATTGTAAGATAAAAACGAAAAATATTTTTCAATACTTTTCTCTTAAAGGGAAAGAGTTCTTTATTAATTTCCCCAAATAAGTTCGAAAAGTATTTTTATTCAGTAAGTTTTTAATTTAAATTGTTTTTCTTATTTTAATTTACTTTTTCATTGTTTTTTATTTTTTAATTTAATTAAAATTGTTTTTCATATTTTAATTTACTTTTACATTGTATTTTATATTTTAATTTACTTTTACATTGTTTTTAACATTTTAATTTACTCTTAAATTATTTGTTACATTTCAATTTACTTTTACATTGTTTTTTATATTTTAATTTACTTTTACATTGTTTATAAGGTTTATATTGTTTATTATTGAAATTTAACTTTTACGTTTATATAGCGGGTGTTAATTAACAAGTTACAGCTGTAATTGCAAAGAAATGGAAATAAATTCAATTGACAAGGAATTTACAACTTCGAAAACTTCTTTACTGATTTACATTCATTACAGAATTAATCAAACTTCGCGAGATTCTCTCCGCAACTTCTTTTTCTTTTTAAATCCAATTATCCAACTTTCATATATCAGATGACAGTTAACAAATTGTTCACGCAATTCATTAAAACCCTGGTAATTTCTTTTAAAAAAAAAGATTAATAGGACCAATTTTTAGCATTTGAATAAATTTTGTTAAAAATTGATTTTCTAAATTATGCTGAAAAAATTTATTTGATTCTATTAACCGATGACTTATCTTTTATCAAATAAATATATTTACTTGATTTAAATACTTTTTATTTTAGTCAATTAAATATTTGCTTCAAATAAAAAATTGTTTTAACTTTCAAATACTGAATTTACAGTTTTTAATACAATTTGACTTACATAAAATTTATTCGATTTAAGTAAATATTTATTTGATAATATACAAGTAAACGATTATTTGAATCAAGTAAATTTTTTTTTCAGTGTTTAATATAATTAAACACAAAAGTAAACGAAATTTAAAAGTGAAAATTTAAATTTAAATTAAATTTTTCTAGGGAAAAAAAGTTAAAATGTAAATAATAAACTAAATGAAAAAAAAATATTTGACGAAAAAAATGTACTAAAAAATAGTTTTTAATGTGAAATAAATGTGGACGAAAATATCTCACCAACTTCACATTAAGGGGTCAAGTATCTACCCTTAATCTTAAATACAAAAAGTCTAGGAATTAAATATATTGAATACATTCATTAAAATTCCCCTACAAAAAAAGAATTTCTAAATAATAAAACTTTTTTTTCTTTTGGTTTGAGAATAGAAAATAGAAATTTAATTACGAAATCCACAGATTAGTTACATTTTCCTGTACTATTTATCCTGGATTAAAGAATGAATAGCTGTAAACAAAGACAGCCTGTTTCATCGTCCAAATTAAGAAAAGTTGTAGGAAAATTTTTAATTCTCAAACTATATGACTGGTAATACAAAAGTCCAAAACTTTATATAATTCTCAAGTTGCAAGAAGCAGTCAGTTAAGCTAAAAGTAGGGTTGAGACTATGTGAACCCCTTGGGAGTTTCCCTTTAAGTCAATTTAGTCGAGTCCTTGTGGTAAGATAAACACACGTACATAAAAGAGAGTGAATACGTGTTTGTATTGGTCTTGATAGAAAGGGAGGCTGTGAGAGGAAGTTGGGAGATAAGGCGAAATCCGGTTTAAATATAGGTTATAAATAGAAAGTAGATAGTTTTATAAATTTATAAATAAATATAAATAAATATTTATTTATTTTGAATCACAGAATATTTTTCTCAATTTTTAAACATTCCTTTTCATTATACAAAAGGGTGAAAAAATATTGTACTCACTTTAAAAACATCAGTGTTGCCTCAAAAAACTTTAATTTTGATTTTCCCTAACTTTTCCCTGATTTCCAGACAAAAATTTCACTTTTTTCCTGAGTCTGAAGAAAATCAATAACTTCTTTTTTAAATAAATATTAAATCATTATTATTTTTCTATAGGAATGAAGATTTTTTTTATAGGAATAATTTTTTTTTTTTTTATTATTATTTTTTTTTGGAAATCCACTCCGAGTCTTCGACTCAAAGTGATCGATTTCCTCATGTTTTATA